GTGTGTCAATCAAGATATATGCAAGAACAGGCTCAATGATTATATTTTGTAACCATTCTTTAGTATATCAATTGTGTGATTTAAGAATGTTAACACTGTTATATTCTTTTTTAGTATAATGTGTGTGTGTGCAGAAGTGAATCATTTATTGCTTGCAAACCAATGATGGTAAGATGATGTCATAGGGTAGGACTGGATAAGTCTGACTTCTTCCTACTCCATTCAAGCATGTACTAGGTATAAGCAAATTGATATTGGATTGTGTGTAAAAATGAGTGTTGTTATATAAACTGTTTTATATGCTTGAAAGAATAAATCAAATCAAATCAAATCAAAGAGTGAACATCATTTTTAGTGCAGATAATTTTTTGTATTAACGTTCTGATCATTTGTGACTCAGATAAAAAGTACACCGGAAACTTCTCTCATATTTCAACAGAATCTTTATTTTTAGTTCCCTTTATTTCACAGTACATTCATTTAATAATAATTGCAGGTGTCTGTGGTTTAGGAGGTAGAGTGGGTTGTCTCCTCACCGGAGGATTGGCAGTTCAATTCTTAGCTTCTCTGTGTCCACATGTTAAGGCATCCTTGTCCAAGACACTGGACCTCAAGTTATTCCCGACGATATCACTGGTGTGCGAATGCTTGTGTGTGTGAATGGGTGAATGGGAAATAGCGTAAAGCGCTTTGAATGTGCTTCAAAGTATAAGACCATTTAAATGTACACTTCTGTATTTCTGGAGTATGATAAAAGGTTTAGCTGCTGTGAAAATGGCTTTGACATTGTTTCATAAAAATCTTTTTGTCTGATCACTTCAGTATCTCAGGGATGAGAGCACTGTCCCCTTTGACCTTTCTCACTGATCTGTCTCCAAAGTCAATAATCACCCATGATAACAGCAACACAACACAGCACAAAGATAGGAGTACACATATAACAGCTGTGTCCTCTATTAACAACCCCCCTAACTTGTTAGCACAGTGCCTTTGGGGTTATATCAAACCCCAGAGACATTTGGACTTTAAAGATTCAACACAAGGAAAGGAATATGTCTCTTGAGTAGTGTCCTTGCCCCCCAAAGAACATCCCTGGGCATGTCTGTGCCGTCCATCCTCCCCTGTCTCTCTCTTTGGTATCTATCCTTGTCCCATGGTGTTTAAGAGTGGTTTTGAATGTTTGGCAGGTTAAATTTAGCCTACTGATGTAAGCTGCATTCCATTCACAACAGACACAGAGATACACCCACAGTTTGGCTTTAGTGTCTAGGACTGTGAAGATCAGGGAAGCTCAAACTACCTACAGTGGGTTGACCCCTGAGTCGCCGTGTCTCCCCTTCAAGGATACAGGTTGCACAATAGGGACACCATCACAGGTATGGACAAGCCTCATCAGTGTGGATTTTGCGTATATTTAGGAAATTTTATAATTAGTTAGGTCAGAATATTCAAAACAGTCCCAGTATTGTGTTAAAATAAATGTGGCTGCATTTAACTAACATTTATAAATGCTATCAATTATAGAAGTCTCTTTTTGTTTTTGTTATGGCTAATTTATATATAGGCTCCTTATGACAGATTATTAGTTAATTATATATATATTTTCTATCTGTAAAATTATATTGCCTTACATTTGCTATATTTTGAAAATAATTTAAAGTTTGTCACAAACATAGCTGCAAAGCCAGCAGATTGGCACAGCTGAGTTACTGAACAAGAAGTACATTTATAATCTTACTGTCTGGTATCATTTAACAAAAAAGGGAAAACTAAATATACTCAGGTCACGGCAAATGTAAGAAAATCGTTTTGGATGTTTGTGCACTTTTTGCCCCACAGCTGAACATTTCTAACATTTATAACTAGAAAACATATATAGGTTTGCTTACAAAATTTGGACATAATAATAGTAATTTACCCTTGACCTCTACATATTTATCTGGTGACAGTATTAAAGGGAGATGCCGCTAACATAAGCTCATGTGTTCACATACTAGTTAAGGTCAGAATTCTGCTTGGTTTGCATGTAGTACTACTTATGTAACAGAAAAGAGCAGAGTAATAAATGTCTAATCATGAGAAAGTCAGTCTGTATATTATGAGTTTTCCTTGTCATCTTTTCAACTCTGTCCCATTTCAGACTGATAATAATGCAGAATTACAGTCTGTTTTTTTCTCTGACAACTGATGAAAGATGATCTTAACATTTATACTCACCAAACACCAAACTCTGTGTTTATCTACAACCTGTCAGATTATGTGCTCAATGTTCTGTGGGATCAGGATATAAGAAGTAAAACGTCTTCTTCATGACATGAGCAGAATAAATACACCCGTGTCCTTTATTGGTTTCCAGAGTTTTGTCCACATTGCCAAAGCCACACTTTCGCACTTCTATACAATGCTATCTGGAGATAGGAAGAAGTGTGCAACAGCTATTTGCTGAGATGTCCACGGTATCAGTTGTGTGATGCTGGAGCAGAGGTTCAGTGATCAAACACACCGCTGCAAGACAATATCCACGCTGATCTGGGTTCAAAATGTCAGGGCTACTTTTCAGCACTTGCCATAAATAAGCTACCAATTTTCCTTTTCCAATGTCTATTTCTGGGTGGGGGGTGGGGGTGCAAAACAACTGTGTGGCTATTTGTTTAGTATGAAGCTCCATGACAGCTGGGGTACATTCCTTCTCTACTGGTGGATGAGGAAGCATCCTGTACATCTCAAACTAATTCGCCCAGTACAATGATAACTCATTTTCCATGACAGGATTTTAAAAATATAAAATGTGAATTTTAGTAATGCCTTTGACGTCATTTATGGACCCTTTCTTGAACCCATTCAACTGACATTTCTGTGTGTATATTTATATTGTCCACCCTCCACCTCCCAGCTCTACCAGTAGGGCTGGACTGACTTACTAGGAGGCCCCAGACAAAACAATTACAGTTAACTGTCAGTCACTGTTGCTCAGCCCCATTCACAAGTTAGTTTATGATCATTTGATTATATGCAAATGTATTTAAGAATATGCACCATGTAACTCATATATTAAAGGTATTAAAACTCAGGTTTTTCGACACAGTCCTTCAAAAGACTTGAGAATTATATAAAAATCTTTTTTTTGCTTGATTGTTCTTTTTACAAAATCTACCTTAACGGGCACAAGTATATGTTTCAAGTTTTGAAAATGTTAATTCAGCATTATGTGATATGCAAACTCAGACCCGCTACATGATATTTTCTCTCACCTTTGCTGTCTGACAGGGGACGTCATGGATCTCGGAAAGAAGCTCAGCATTCCAAAAGATATTATGTTGGAGGAGTTATCACTGCTTTCCAACAGAGGTTCGCGGCTCTTTAAAATGCGCCAGAGGAGATCTGACAAATACACATTTGAAAGTATCCAAAATGAGGCTAACACACTGCTAAATGTAAGTCAACTTGTCTGTGCTATTCAGTTATTTCATTTTTTAATGACTGGATACAGAAAATGCTTCAATTACTGTCTTGCACAATACTGACTTTTACTTTCTGGAGTTCTAGCATTAGTGAAGTCTGCATGAAAATTTGTAAAGTTTTCCATACATTACTAATTAAATGTAAATGTATCAGTAAATATGCTCTTAGAAAAAAATGTTACAACACATGGAAGATGGAGTGACACGTTCCTTGAGCCTTATGCATCCTCCAGCCAAATCTACTGAGAGGCTTCTCAGTCACTTTGTTGAGGAACTGCCCCCTCGTTTATCAGTGTCTGTTGATGTGTGTGTGTGTGTGTGTGTGAGTGAGAAAGAGAGAGAGTATATACATAATTTAATGCATGGAAGACAAGAGTCCTGTTGCATTACTGATATTTTACCCAAGGCTGAGAACATGTGCTGTACTTTATTCTGTTTTACAGAATGATATTTTAGCTCAGAATGCACACATTGTGGAAATTAAAGTGGATGCACCAACCACAGCAACCCATGGAAATGCTACAGAAAACACAGTTTCAGTTAATAATGCTGGTGAGTAGAAGAGGCTGTTTATATTGAATTCAACAATCAGATTTAAAATACAGTGAGGACTTAAAACTAATTTTTGTTTTATTTTATCATATTTTAATAGCTTACACCCGTTTGAAACTACTTCATCAGGGTGTCACCCCATGCTGACACATTACTGTATATGATGAGTGTAAACTCCAATTATTGCCTGCTATAGCTCATCAGATTGTAATGATGGACAGCTCAGTCCAAATAATGAATCATCTGTGCCCTGTATCACGTTGAAAACAATACAGCACCACATTATTTGATGTGATACCTCATTAATTGTATTCCTTGTTCAAAATAAACACACTTCAGTTCTGATACCTGCTACAGAATTCAACAAAAGTTGCATGTAAGGTAACTTCTTCTTCTTCCACCACTGGGCAGCCCCGAACTGCAAACAAAACTGTCAAATCATTCTGCTGCAACTGTAGAACAAATCTCCACAACATGCTCTTATACTGACATTTCTCATCCAGTGTACAGTACCTCTTTGTTTTTGTTCTTGTTTTCTTTTTCTCCTTCATAGACACGACTGCAGAGAAGGTAAAAACCACAACTATACACAAATACTATTACTCTCCTTGGGCGGAGGCAATCCTTCATCACCCTGACCTTGCGGAAACTCTCAAACTAAGAATGCCTGCACTGGACCCACGAGCAGAGCTTCCTGAATACAAATGTTTCAACCGGTGAGAAAACTACCAGCACATTTTAATGAATTGGTGCAGAGTAAGACAAAAAGTAGAATTCACACCTAATCTAAATTACAGAGCTGCCACTCCTTATGGTGGCTTTGACAAAGCACCCAGAGGAATCACATTCAAGCTCCCTCTGGTGGACCTGAACATGCCCAGATACCCAGAGCTGCAGGATCCAGGGTTGAAGCGGCCCACCTTCAACAGGACAGCCCAGGGATGGGTATCTGAGGGCACTCATCTGATCCTACCCACCATTACCCTGGAGTCTATCGAAATCCCAGAGTCTGATGATCTGTAGATGGTCTGTTGTTATCTGGCAACACATTGTTGGCTATAAAATCGTGGCCCTGCTTGCAATGACAACAGAATAGCCACTTAGTAGCATAGGTGCAATGTCTTTTCAATATTTTTGAATTTTTCCCATGCAGTGAGCACAAAATGTTCCTTGAAGGAATGTGCTATATATATATAGTTCAAGAAATCCTGAACTTCCACTGATACTGAAAACAAAACTGTACATTTTATTAATGTTCAAGTGACTTGATGAACATGGAATGTAAATAAAGAATGGACAAGATTAATCAATGGCACAAAATGTTTCGCTATTATTAGTAAGATACATTTATATTATATTGACTGAAAATAAACAAATTAAACTGACAGTCCATTGCCATTTACAGTTGGAGTAGGTCTAATATAAAAACCTAATCTAAATTAAAATGAGAAATGTTTGCATATAGTCATGATGTCAGTGTCCCATATCCTCAACAAAAGGATTCACAGCATTTGTATAGTGTTGAAGTAGAAGAAGAGGTGATTTCACAGAGCAGCCAAGGTAAATTTATCTTGAGAATATCACAGAGAGGTCACTGATCTGTGGGGAAGACAGAGGGACCTGGACTTTGACCTGTGATGGCATGGAGATGTGCCATTCACAATGAAAGGACTGGAAGCAGTATATTCATGGACCCCAAAACTTTGACTTTATATGTATTTCATAACTGTATAAAAACACACACACACACAGTAATGTAAAATGGATCCTGTCACATCGGTTGTGTCTGATATCAGCTGAGAGGACAGACAGATATCCTGTACTGTTGGTGGTCACAGGTGGACTAAAAATAACATGTAACTTTGCAAAAACACATCCTACAGTCGAAACATTAGTGCAAAAATACAGTGAATGTCTGTGACTGATATTTGGTACTGAGTTCAGTGTTTCTGAAGAATCAAACACTGAAGTGGCATGACTTCTGTAGTGTACTTGTATATATTCTACTACTTATACATGCTCAGACATATACTGTATTGGTTCTTTAATTGGTCACAAAAATTGACCTGACCTTCCCCCAAGTCACAAACAAACACAATGTGCTTATGCTAATGACACATAAACAGTTACAGTCTTTTGTGTCTTTATCATTCATTCACAGTGCCGGTGGAAATAGCAAGCGAGTCCTTGAATTTAATAACTTGCTGAACCTCCTTGTGCAGAAATAACTTCAAACAAGTGCTTCTGGCAGCTGATCAGACCTTCACACCATTCAAGAGGATTTTTGGACCGGTCTTCTTTTCAGAACGCTTGTTCTTTGAGTTGGTGCATTTATATTGCTATGTAGTTGCAGTGTGCTTTTAACACCATACACTACATAATTCTGCATGTCCTTCCCAAACAATTCAAGCTTATTTTCATTCAGGACACAAAACATTTTCCCAGCAGTGTTGTGGAGTGTCAAAGTGTTTGTTGGCAAACTTCAGGCGTGCGGTAATGTTTTATCTGGAGGTCAGCAGTTTTCCTCTGGGGTCTCATGCTATGCCACGATTCCTGTTCGGTTAGTTGCATGTGGTAGACTAATGAACAGAGATGTCAATGAGTTCATATGATTCCTTTAAGTCTGGGCATCTTTTTTTTTTACCTCACTGAGCATTCTGGGTTGTACCTTTGAAGTCAGCTGAGAACCCACTGCAGTGTGAGAAACATGGAAAATAAAACTCTGGCAGGGTTTAAGTCAAGGTCACTGGAATCTCAAGAGCAAGCTTGATGCATGACTCACACAGAATGTGGTGCAGCCCATCAGGTCAGATTTGACCTCTTTGGCTGTTTCATCACACTGCAGTAAATTATAAGAAATGCCAATCTGTGTAATATATTTAATACATTAGATAGTGGCTGGACATTTTGGAATTTTAAATGTATTGAGAAAGTCAAGGGGTTTGACACTAACAGGATCTGATACTAACCTCAACATGTACTGTAAATCCTGTGCACCGTAAGCGAAGGCAGTATCAATGTGACCAAAGTCTAAAGACTTGATAAGAGTAAAACGGAACTAAAACCACCATATAAACTCTAACTGCCTTTATAACCACTGATTTAGGTGGTAATACAAAAAAGATACACAGCTGCTGAGAGTCTGTCTAAGTCCCTGTACAATACAGTGGAAACTGGTTTTAAAAAACTCCAAAAATAACCTTAAAGACAGTTTAGTCTGACAGCTCATCAGTTGTGTAACACTCGGTTTTGTGAGAGTTTTTATAAATAATACCAAGAACTCTTCATGTGTCTCATGGGAGGCCTCAGAGCTTTTCCAGAATGGGACAGAGCCACTACAACTTAGGTGGAGAAAACATCAGAGGGGAGATTCAGTAATTACTGAGCGTCTTTGTTTTTTGCTGACCCTGACTTGCATGCACCATCAGTCTCTTTCACTTGTCCTGTTTACAGTTAAAACCTGCTCTGCTCTGCAGGCTTTCCCCTGCCAGGCCCTCCATCTGCCCTGGTTTTTGTCCTGTTCACTGCAGCATCAGAGTCAGAAATAAAAATGGTAGATTTAGTTTTCCTGGGATATTATCAGGTAACAGTAATGCTTAATATTACCTGCTATTTGCACCAGTGTAACAAATGACAAGAAAGTATTATTTCCACAGTTGTTTTTTTTAATTTAAAACAGTAATATGGTTCTATTATTTGACATTTAGCCTGAAAGCATTTACAAAAAAAAAAAAAGCAGGCAGGGTTTAGTCCGCGCAGTGCTGCATGATTATGAAACCAGTGCAGTCATGTGATGTATTCTCTCATCATCATCCTGACAAGTTGGAAGTCTGACCTTCCGCCAGAACACAGTTTGCCACGGAGGGACTGAAGATTACAGTACAGCAGCAGTGCACTTGAGGCTACACTAGGGGCGGCGTTTGACCTCTTAAGTCGCAAAACATCACTAATCCGCGTCGGGCATTCTGGCACAGGCCGTCTCCGAAAGCATTTACTTAAAAAAAAAAAAACGAATTTCCACCGATATAACACTCACCCCACCGAGTGTGTGTGTGTGTTTGTGTGTGTGTGTGGCACCAAACGGATGCTCTGGCTGCCATCTGCCTACGTGTCGGAGGGATTGTGAATGCTGCACTATGATGGATAGAGCGTTTGGACATAGCTGCAGTCATTTGTAGGCAGTATTTTTTTGCAGGATTTATCGATAAGTTGTCGGATTTGCGCGTTGACAGCTGGACCGTCCTGCGCCTTTATTGGAGACGAGCAGTCAAGTAAGTATCTGCTTCCCCTTTACGGTGAGTCTGCAGAGCACTTGTTTTGTCAATGCCTGAGCGCAAGTTGCGGCATATTTGTGCTACTGTAGCTGTTCCCATGCAGTTCACCGAGAGGCTGCTGTACTGGCAGCTTGTCTCCTGCTGTGGGAGCGCGCCCGTCGAAACCTTTTGGCGTTTTTAACGCGGGGCGGTCACGAAGTCCGCTTCTCTGAGGGATGTATGTGGATGTATGAACCCTACAGCAAGGACGAGCGCTTATGTCAGAACGCATAGGCCTACACATGCATCCCATGGTGTTAGAGAGGTTAGTGCAGAAACATGTGGGCACTGGCACCAAATGTAGGCTTTAATAGGACGTGGCACGATGAAAACCATTAGGATTTATGAAATATGTCATTTTGGGCCGAAATAAAATACTTGTAATCAAATAAATGAAAGGCACGTTTTCAAGGTAAGCCAACAACATGCCTGTAAAAGTTTAACACCTCATTTAAAAACAAAAAAGTCTTGCTCATCTAAAGATGAGCAAGACTTTTTTGTTTTTAAATGATTCATTTGCTTAATAAAATATTAAAATAATTTAGTTGTTCAGTGTGGAGCCTTGTTGCATAATTATATGCTTATATCAGTATATTTAACAATAATAATAGGCTTCACTTTAGTGTTTTGGTGGTGGGTTTAGTCTCTTGTTTACATTAGGGTTGAACATTGTAGTTTATAGTTTGATGTACTTGAATTTTAAAGAAGACAAACTATTGTTTATGTTGACTATTAGCTCCGTGATGTAGCTATTCATTCTAATGGTACACAGTCATGTCCAAAAGACATTAAAGTGTTACAGAGAAAAGTCAGAATTCAGGTCATACAGCACCATCTTATGTTTGAATTACAATAGCACTGATACAATTATAACTTAATTGTAGCTGATCCTTGTATTATTATTCTGTTATTTTACTTCTGTGTTTCTGCAAGCAGTCTATTAGTTAGGAAACAACAGCAGAGTCACTTTCAAAAAACTGAAGATATTTTAACATCTTTAAGTCTTGTTCTATTAAAATGAAGTAATGTTTTCAGACCAATAATTAAACAGGGCTTCTTTTTTGTCTATAAGCAGATGTAAAATGTCTGTAATATTATTACAAATTGTCAACTCTTCCATTCTGGCAGGTGTGGTAGTCACACTGTAGGCTGTGTTTGTTTTTAAGAGTAAAAGCTTCACGTTACGTTTGTCTTTGCCTTCTAGGTTATGTTGAGATGCACTTGCCTGCTGCACTACCTTTGCACCATTATTCTGCCCTTATGTTTTGCTGCTGTAGCTGCATTGTTGGCTTGCATTAGCAGATTTATGGTTTGCCTTTTCTCCCCTCTGCAGATTTTTTTTCCTGTTGCCATTCAATGTCCAGTGACACATGGCTGAGGGTCCCCTGTGGCTGATCCAAACAATGCTTTCAACTAATCGCTCCGGAGGTGCGTGGGGATGAAATGGATGCAGCCCATGTCCAGGCCTACGCATCAGCTCCCACCTCCCAGCATGTCCAGCTGCAGCAAGTCTCCTGCCAGCTCTGGAGAAGGTAAATGACACGATTCATCTGGCACCTGACCAGATCAGTCATTTGGAGTAGTGATGTAAAGAAGGTTGCTTATTAGACCACCATAGTGCCATGCAATAACGGTCACATTCTGAGCCATTAGTATAGCAGTGTAAACTAGAAGTAATTGAGAATGTGCTAACATTTAGAGGAATGAATCAGTTTGCACATGTTTGCTGGATAAATGAATGACTGAAGACTGAGATGCACCAAATACTGCAAATATTGCACACAATTTGAGATTTTGTGTGTGTGTGTGTGTGTGTGTTCGTTGCAGGCTCTAACTCTATGGCATGGGTGAAAATGTTCAAAAAACCAGGAGAAGGCTTGAAGAAATCCTACCAGCCTGGGAGCATGCTGTCTCTCGCGCTCACCAAAGGCCTGCTGAATGAACCCGGGCAGAATAGCTGCTTCCTAAACAGCGCTGTTCAGGTGAAAACTATTTTCTACCTGCTCTAAAAAAAAAGAAAATAAAAATTGATTAAATCGCTTCACTTCACTGAAAAAAAAAATTCAAACATTTTATCCTTCTATGATTTTCAACTCCTCTTCCAAACGCTGCACTATAAAGCTGCACAAAACATCTTTTGACCAATAGAGGGCAGGAATAGTCCCCAAACCCAACCAGCCAGCAAATAAATAAATACCTTGTTGTTTTGGGGGGTGTTTTTTGCGTGTTAGCCAGACAACTTTGTTGTCAGTTTCACATGGTCCCAGATTTGTTGATTCTCTGAAAGTCTCAGACCTACTAACAGTTCACTGTTTCATTTTGTCAACTTCTAAAAAAATGTTTCTAGGCTTTTAGTATTTTTATGGGCAGTGTCTCAGTGATGACGTAGTGTTGTACAGTATGTTTGGATTAGTTAATGGAACTCAGCCATATGCAAACCTAAATAATGAGTGGAAAATGAATAAAAGTAGTGAAAAGCTGTGGCGTCAAACATTGAATTCAGTGTTGATATGAGAAACTTGTGGTTTTAGTTGCTGTTGTTAATCCCCCCCACAGGTGCTTTGGCAGCTGGACATTTTCAGGAGAAGTCTGAGGCAGCTCTCAGGTCACTTTTGTCTTGGTGATGCCTGCATTTTCTGTGCTTTAAAGGTTTGTCGGTTCTGTTTTTGCATTTAAACCCAAGTCAGTCAGTGTGTTTTAATTAGTGTTGTTAGTGATGTCTTTTTGGTCATACAGGTAATTCAGGGACGGTTTAAATAATTATTATGAACTAGCTACTTGTTGTTTTTCTTTTTCAGAGTATTTTCAGCCAGTTTCAGCAGAGCAGAGAGCGTGTGCTCCCCTCCGACAGCCTGCGGAACGCCTTAGCTGAAACCTTTAAGGACGAGCAACGCTTCCAGCTTGGCCTGATGGATGATGCTGCTGAGTGCTTTGTACGGTGACTCTGTGCCTTTGGCTTGTAAACAAAAGTAATATTCAATCGAAGTAACTTTATATTACATTACATTATGGTGCTTTCTACTCGGTGGCACCGATGGTAAAAGGAAACAAAGGCCACTGGCACAATGTCTTGGCTCTGTCACCCCTTTATCTACTGTACTGTATGTGAAAATACAGGTTAACATTTTTGCATTTTGTTTGTTTTAATGTTATTCTGCAACAGCATTGTTGTTAGAGAATTAGACAAAGAGGTGCTTCATATACATGTTTGAGTGGGTATTGAATACAGAACTTTTAAGGTCTACGCTGACATAATTCTTCCATTTTTATGTTTCTAGCTGCGGTACTGCTTTGTAGCATGTACTGTATGTTTGCTTGTATTCCACATTAGGCTCTTATTTGTATTGGCTCTTATTTCTTATCTATTAGGAGAACATCCTGGAGCGAATTCATTTACACATAGTTTCAGACACCGCAAATGATGCTTGTTCATCCAAAGCCTGCATCACCCATCAGAAGTTTGCAATGATGCTTTATGAGCAGGTAACATATTTGTCATTTTATTTGGAAAATGAAATTCAAATGCAATACAATACAACACTCAGAAGTGTATTAATGTGTTAAAGTACATAGGGAATTTTAAATATAAGGAAGAAACATTTAATAGAATAATAATGAAAAGTCACTCCTTCAGCTAAATGTTTGAGGAATGTGCACATAACATCTAAGGGTGTAAATAAAATGTAATTTGTTAAACAATGTTTTCTTTTCTTTTGCAGTTTGTGTGTCGCTGCTGTGGTGCATCTTCAGACCCACACCCATTCACAGAATTCGTACATTATGTGTCAACCACTGCTTTATGGTGAGCACTTGACTAACCGCCACAAAAGCCAGGCCAGAAGTGTCATTCCTGATTTAAATGTCAGAGTATTAAATGAGGCTTCTACTACTCCTTGTGTCCTTTAGCAGCTGTACTCCTTTAGCAGTCTGTATACTGTATAATATATACTGAGGTGTTTTCACTGTGGTGCTGCATACAGTACAATGCACTGAGGTGTTTTCACTGTGGTGCTGCAATGTGTACATTCATAATCCTGAACTTTTGTAAGGTTAGAGTATGCTTTTAGCAACTGATAAACAAAGTAGCTCACAAAAACTCATCACTGACATTTATATTGTGGTGAAATGTTGGTAGGTAGGTAGGTAGGACTTTATTGACCCCACAGCAATAGAGAGCAGCAACAAAACACCATAAGAACAAACACCACACACATATCTTGGGAAATAAATTCCAAAGTACCTAAAACCAAACAGATTATAGTATTTGATAGACAATCAAGAACAAGAATGATCCTCCCACAATTAATCCCTGAGAACAAATCAAAATACCTAAGAACAAGACAAAATATAGTATTCAAGAGATCAAGAAATCAAGGACAAGAATATTATTCCCATAATTAATCCCGCAGTGGGGGAAATACCTGTGTTTCAGCCATGAGGAGCTCTGAAAAACTACTCAAAAATACCTAAAACAAGACAATATAAAGTATTTGAGAGAAATCAAGAACAAGATTTTACATATGTGCATATTTACAATGCATTTTACCCCCAGGATTTGAGTATTGCACCTCAGTTGACTATTGCATAGTCCCTCATAATTTCACCTATCTTATCACTGCAGTGATGTATTGTACAGTCTGATTGCTGTGGGGAGGAACGACCTACAGTAATGCTTCTTCATGCACTGGGGATGTAGCAATCTTGTGCTAAAAGAACTGTTCAGAGTCTCCACTGTGTGGTGCAGGAGATGGGAGGGGTTATGCATGATGGATGTTAGTTTTGCCAGCATCCTTCTGTCCGCCACCTCCTTGATGGAATTCAGAGAGCAGTCCAGGACAGAACCAGCTCTCTTAACCAGCTTGTTAAGGCTCTTTCTGACTGTGTTGTGGAACACACTCGGCCATTCATCACTAGTGCTACTGGATTTTTTTATTTATTATTTAATTAAGTCATGTTATTTGGAGCTGAACCAAACACCTAAACACCTAGGGTTTTCATTTTCCCCAAAGGCTAAGGATGCCAAGCAGTTGTTTGAGCTTTTAAATACTGTTTGTGGCCATTTCTTTCTTTTGCGCCACAAGTGCACAAGACCTGCTCAGCTTATTCTCTGCATGCACTTGTGCATAGCACAAAGTAAATGTTTGTTTGCATTCACCGCTATCAACCAGGAGTGGTTATTGCAGTTTAAAACATTTTATCTGGATACCTTCAACACAGTTTCTGTCTGTTACTACTAGAGTAAATGTTATTCATGAGGACTGTGGTGATGGAAAATTATTAAAATGTTCACTGTGTTAAATGTTGGTGAAAAATATAATGTATGGGAAAACACAGCCATCTACTATCCATAACTGGTCCCTGTTTTTATTCTATATTTTATGCACAGCCAGCAGATTGATCGCATGTTGGGAAAAAATGAGCGGCTGAGGTCAGACATGTTTGGAGAGCTGCTGCAGGCAGCAAATAACACAGGTGACGCCATTTTGGTCTCTGCGTGACGGAAACGTGTGCAATCTATGAATGTACTGAAAGATTAAATGAGGTATTAAACACCTTTCACTTTAAAAAGGGGCGGAGACCCGGAGGAAACTCTGAGTTTCCCGAACAAAACCTGCTCCCAACCAGGTTAGGTTCACAGAGTAAGTTGCCATAGTAACTGACTCTTTAGATTACCTCTTTTTTTGAAACGGGTTTAACTTACCCCGCTTTCACGGGTTTAAGTTACCTCCGTTTCTGGAACCGAAAACTCAGAGTTTTCCTCATTTCGGGGTTAACAAACTCTGAGTTTCGACAAAACCTCCTTCTTGAAACGGGCCCCAGGAGGGGTTATTGCAGTTTAAAACATTTTATCTGGATAACTTCAACACAGTTTCTGTTTGTTACTACTAGAGTAAACGTTATTCATGAGGACTGTGGTGATGGAAAATTATTAAAATGTTCACTGTGTTAAATGTTGGTGAAAAATATAATGTATGGGAAAACACAGCCATCTACTATCCATAACTGGTCCCTGTTTTTATTCTATATTTTATGCACAGCCAGCAGATTGATCGCATGTTGGGAAAAAATGAGCGGCTGAGGTCAGACATGTTTGGAGAGCTGCTGCAGGCAGCAAATAACACAGGTGACTTCCGAAGCTGCCCGGTATGTGATTTATTTATTGTCATTTTTCATTTTAATCAGATGTTTTTGTTAACAAGTTAATCCTGCTGTCTTGTCAAAACATCTGTCTGAAATCAACCATTAAATGCTAATTAGTTGCAGGCACAAATAATTTAGCCATTCAGCCGAGCAATTATCATGTTACTGTAAAAGGGACACAAAAATGCTTCTTGCAACTGTGCAGAGTACACTCTGTGCTTTCTGCTGTGACACTGCATTTGAATTGGCCAGAAGGAGACGGTGCCAGACTAGTGAGGGGATATAAATAGCAGTAAGGGCTTATCCTCTGGTTTTCTCTCATCTGTATTTGCTACCGCTGCCTTCCTCTTCAGAGTGTATCAGTTTGACAAAAGACTGAGTTCTCTCTTCTGTCAGAAATTTCAAACAGCACTATTGACTTCATGATACTGATGTGCAGATAATACTGTCACATTTCCACCTTTGCAGTGATGTTTTGAACTGATGAGTCACATGAGTTTTAATTAAGAGAGACAGAGATAGAGCCACAACCTAAAGGACTCCGCTGACATTTGGAGAAATTAACTCATTTATTTCTTACTGAAATTTGAAGAAAATAAATGCTTAAGCTAGCTGCTCACTGGAATGTCTCACTTTGTACCACTTCATGTCTTAAATACACAAAACAGTTTGTAAATATTAAATAAACAATGTAAATAAAACATATCTGGAATTGTTGTGATACTGGTTAGCTGTTTCCCCAGCCTCCAGTCTTTGTGCTGAGCTACATGTGGACCACATGTCTAGAACACGCACTGACAGTGAAAATGTTTTTAGACCATCTGAGTTGTATTTAAATTAGTATTTGTTTAAATTATTGAGATCTTTGGAACAATGTTTTTCTTGTATGTATGGTAAAGTTAATATGGACTTCCATATGCTGTTCTTGGTATTCTGTAGAGCGACTGTGGTCAGAGCATCAAGATCCGCCGTGTGCTCATGAACTGTCCTGAAATTGTGACAATAGGGTTCGTGTGGGACGCTGAGCAGTCTGATCTTACGGATGATGTCATCCGGTCACTTGGCCCACGTTTGAACCTGTGTGGGGTAAGAGCTGAGCAGGCTGGATGACCCTCAGACCTTTTTTGCTGCACAGAAGACAAATATATCATATTCATCGTCTTAAAAGTCACTTTAAGAGATTTGTTAGATGTGGTGTTAAAAAAATGTATATCCACCAAATTACACCTATCACAGTTATCAACTTTTTTCTTTACTTTTTGTTATAATATTACAAATGAAGGTCAGAGTGCTGTAATGGCTTTTAAGCTTTCAAAAGAAGCTTCAGTTCCACATACAAACATTTTATTCTCCTAGGATCTAGTATCTGTCAGAGAGCAATATGCAGAGATGAAACTTCAGTGTGCTCTCTTTCAGCTTTTCAACCGTGTCACTGATGAAAATGCCAAACGGAGTGAGCTACATCTGGTGGGGATGATTTGTTTCTCCAGTAAACATTACTCAGCTTTTGCCTATCACACCAAATCTTCCAAATGGATGTTTTTTGATGATGCTACTGTAAAGGAGGTTAGGAACTCTGCTATTAATCTACTTTGTCTCTGTTCGGGCGTCTGTTACCGGCTACTCTCTGGTAAATGCTCTGATATCGCACTTTTCTTTTTCTCAGATTGGATCCAAATGGAAAGATGTTGCATCTAAATGTATCAGGGGACATTTCCAACCTCTTCTTTTATTTTACACTAATCCTGAGGGAAGCCCGGTGTCCAATGAAGATGCGCCAAGACAGACCACCATGTGTCCTCGATACAAAGCCCAAGTAAATGGTGGCATGACAGGTGAGGCAGTCCTCCACTTATCAGTGTATCTAACCCTACCACTTCTGGTTAAAATTGTTAGAATTGTCTGGGACATCCTGAGCAGAGTTTTAAATCACTGCAAGGTATATTAAACAACAGATAATCACAGCAACATACTGTAGAGTTAGTTACAAGTTAATGTTATAAGTTAACACTCACTCATGACTTTCCCCACAGGTTAACTATAAGCTAAACTGACCAAATGGTGGAATAAACACAAAAAACACACATTTTTGTGTTGGGTGTTAGGTGCACTTTGCACCACTTTGCAGTAAATATTACTTCACTATTCCAACACTATTCCACCCTGGTGGAAGGCAGTTCTGGTTTGCACTGGGACTGAGAGAGTGCTGTTAGACCGCAGGCTTGAACTTGACATGACGATGAGGCCTCTGTTGCACACAGCTTACCACCCACGCCTCCCTCCCTAATCCATGCTTTTGTAGCCAAGGTGCTACTCCCCTAGACATTTCTGATGTTTACCTCCATTAATTTATCTGCTTGGGTTTTTTGCAATGGCACAGCACTTGTTTAGATGGATTGTTTTGCTTTAGTGCGGTGGCCAAACACTTCAACTGGCATGGGACAGGAATCTTTTAATGAAAATAAGTGTAAGTAATTGATTTTTTGGTTTGTTTCAGAGTGGCTGAATTTTTGAAACATTATATGCATTATTTACTACTGTGTAATTTATTAAAGAATTTTAAATTGTGGCTTACTGAAGTACTGTTTCCTACACTTTATAGTTTGCTATAGTTTTTCTCATGCATTCTTACATCTAGAGTATAACCAGTCCAGCTGACATACAGCGTTTTACTGTATTCGCATTTACTGTATGTGTTACTGAATTACTTGGCAGTTGGTGTACTTTATCCAAATCTAGTATCCTTTTTTTAGTGGAACTACTTAAATGTCAGCATCAGGCTACATACCCAAATCTGGAAATCTGTAATATTACAGCTTACTTGCTACCATTTCTCAGCACTGTCAGCCACACACATGCGCAGTATTTTGACTTTTTCATATGTACCTCATGTTTCAGAGAGCATTTCTTTCACTTGTTTTCTATTTATTAAATGGTAATATTTTTACTATAGGTCTTAATAAAATATGGAGCATGTTAGGGTGATTACAAGCATCTTGAAGTACAGTGTTAGACAACAGAAAGGAGGAGCTGAGATAATAAAATGAAAGAGAGGCAGTTGTTCGGCAAAGGTACCAATTATTTACTGTTTGGTTGACTAATGTCCACATGCTCAGAAAATGCTGCTTAAGAGGCAAAAAAAATCTTAAGTTAAGAAATATCAAATGCAATTTTCTGCTTCAAAGCATAACCGCTCATCTGCCGGTTCATTTATTCTTTTGCCCTCAGTGAAACTTCCCCTCAGCAGTCCTAACAAATTCCAGGAACCTTTTATGGAGAGGCCAGGCGACTCAAAAAAAGACAGAGGGCATCGGAGAATTGACCCATCACAACACCAAGGTAGATGTATTCAAAAATGTTTACAGTTGCTTGGAAATGGATATGCTGAAAATTGTTAATCGGTCAGTCCTGTCAGATATTTTTCTAAAGTCACGGAAAACTGCAGTTGTTAAGACCCTTCTAAAAAATGCAGCATTGATTGTTACATGTTAAATAATTACAGGCCAATATCTAATCTTCCTTTCATTGGAAAAGTTATTGAGAATGCAGTTTTGATTGAACTGAACAACTTTTTAATGTAAACGGCCTTTTGGACATATTTCTGTCTGACTTTAGACAACACCAGCACTGAGACTGCACTGATAAATGTGTTAAATGACATTCTTGTCAATACAGATTCAGGTAAAACATTAGTTTTGGTGCTGCTTGATCTTTGGTCATGAATCTGAGTGGACCACCATGACATGCGGAGTCCCCCAGGTTTCAGTTCTTGGACCACTGCTATTCAACCTGTACATGCTCCCTCTGGGTCAGATGATACATGACAATAATGTTGCTTATCATAGTTACGCAGATGACACGCAGTTTTATTTAGCTCTCTCAGCAAGTGACTATGGTCCCTTAGACTCACTCTGTCAGTGCTTAGAGCAAGTCAGCTCCTGAATTAAATTAAATTTCCTTCAGTTAAGCAAAGAACCAAAAAGGATAAAGCTGCTTTAAGCTACTATGCTGCACACAGATGCCTGGATTCTATGCTGTACTTTCTGCACTATAAAAATCTGCTAGATTTTTGTTTCAGAGCTTTTATTTTATTTATTTTTATTTTCATTTTATGTATTGTATCTCATTTTAACAATCTCCTAACTGATTTCATTCTGGTTGTCTTGCTTATTGTTTTCAGTGCTGTTACTATTTGTCCATGCATATGCAAAAGCACTTTGAATTGCCTCTGTGTATGAAAATGCTATATAGATAAAGTTGCCTTGCCTTGTGTTGTAGTCATAGTTGAACACTGATTATTGGCAGGCAAAAAAAAGACATACAGCAACAAATCATAAATGCTGTATGTCACAACCTGTGTGTAGCTCTACAAATGATCTATGTCCACTTTGTTTAGACATGGCACATACAAGAACTTCATCTCCTCCAGAGAATGGACCAAGGCCTTCTGTGGACCAAAGACTAAAAGGCTATCAACGTACTGAGAAGTCATCAAACCATTCAAGCAGAGGATCTCAGGAGCCACGTGGACAGGGTGGCGGGCCCCCCCCCCAGCCGCTATGATCAGGGTAGTTGCCAGGAGCAATGGGAAAAGGGTGGAAGTGGAGGAAGTCGCACTAAATCTAAATCCACCTGGAGACCTATTCGAGAGGTGTTAAATGTGGACACTGTGCTGAACGAACTGGAGCAGCGGCGTCAGCAGCAACATGACAGTCCGCGACGCAGTAAGCCTTCATCGCAGGAAAGGGTGCACGCTGAACTAAGTCATGAGAGGGAACATGTGCGAGCCAGAGAAGATCGGAGGCAGAAGTGTTTAATGACAATTTATGAGGATGATCAGCGGCATGAGACTGAGAGCCACAGCTCTGTAGAGTCGGAGAGCAGGGCCAACCAGCAGAGGGGCAGCAGGCTTAAGGGTGGCCCCAAGACGCTGCTGCGTAGTGACACCTGGACCACTCAAAGGGCAGAGTCTGGCTACGAGAGCAGTGACAGGCTCAGCAGTGGCTCCACCAATCCTGACTCACCTGGGGTTGATGGCTTTGCTGTTAAAGACCAGAGGTCAATGCCAGAGGCACAGCTGCAGAGGTAACAGCCATTCTTTGCACTTTTATCTTAAGTTTGCCAAATCAGGAGTGCTACAGAGTGTAAATGACACTGTCATCTCTAAATTACTTTAAAACTGCAGGTATAGTAACTGACGGCATTAACTGCTAGTTCCATCAAAATTAAGTAAATCATTAGTTCCTTGAAAAATCTTCTGAATGTTTATTTTAGCAATAGTTCAAGTTTAATTGTTAATCTGAAATACTGCCCTATACATACCTCCATACATTTCTCAGAAAATATGTAGCTACAATACAGTAAATATGGAAACTGTTTTTAGGTAAGTTAAAAGGTTACAGTATATTTATAATGTCCGCTAACAGGCAATGTGCCTTTTATTTATTTCTCAGTATATTTTCATACATATTCAGTACATTATTGCAGATCCTAATCATCACTCAAAAGTATGAAACTGCACTGCTGAGACAAGCCTTAATTCTAAATGACTATATGCTGGGCCTCTTGTTTAGTAAAGCTAATGTGCACTATAAACCAGTATGTGGGTTTGATATGAGGATTCACTAATTTAATGTTTAAAGTTTTAGTCTCATAATAAGCATAAGAAATAAGATTTTCAGATGTTAGAATTGTGTTTGATGCAATTGTAACATTCACGCAGTCATTCTACCATTTTTGTGGGACGCTGTGCACTCTTCAAAATATTTCACTGTTTTGTTTATTTGTGTAAAAGCATATTGTGAATAGTTTTTTATTTATTTTTTCAGCCAGCTGCACCAAAAGGGAGGCAATGCAAAATCATGCATAATGTCCTCACCTTCACATAATGGTAAGTTCCAGTATTGAAAGAGTTCCCTGATGGTTTCCTGGCAGAGCCTGGTAATAAATATAGTGTGCTGTAACTCACTATCAGTAGTGTTTTATTTTTATATTATGACACTGACACTGTGGGGTTATGTGCTAAACCTGTCGCAAATTATTGTGCCGTCAGCTGCACAAAATTTAGTGGCAACAGTTTTTAACTATTTAACTGAGCACAGCCGCAGCAGTGTTCACTTGAAAACACTGCAGTTTATCAGGACCTGCTGCCTGTACTGCGCATGTGTGGACCAAGATTGAGCTTAAAAGAAAGTGTACATTTACATTGACTGAACTTTTAATATGGTTGAAGAAGTCAACAAACATATTTTGGAACTGCAATCACATAGTCTTGTTGTAACAATTTCCTTTCATTCAAAATGTGTTTATGAATTCCTTACAGTTTATTCTCGGTATTATGCACGTAGGTGCCTGAGAGTAAGTAAAGACTGATTAATGACTGGGTTGATGTTTGAGCATAGACTGACTTAATTTAACCTCTTCACCCAGTCAGCTCAGCACAGGCATTAATCTGATGTTAATCCAACAAATCTCGTTCAGATAGCACAGCTGGACACAGCTGCTGCTGTTGACAGAAATGTCTTTCTTTTTAAAGCAGCATTTTGAGCGAGCTGCACTTGATACTTTATTGTGCCTGTGCGCATGTGGAGCCAGTGTTTCCAGCCAGCGGCTAAAGCGTTTATCCTTGCATGGTCCTCGCCAGGGCAACGGCAAAGAAAAAAAATAACACATCTATTTTTAAAGGGAAGGAATTCAGCCCCATGCTGCCTCTTGCTGTGCTGGTGCACAGAGTGAGCACGCTGACGGGTCCCTCTAGCTGTGAGAAAGTCTAGTGAGATTAACACTGTGCTGATGCCACCTTGTGTCCAGAGAGGACAACAGCCTCTCTGGACACTGCTGGGGCTGTATATGTGTGTTTATTTGTGTATCTGTAGGTGATGACTTCATAATTAGGGAAGAGGATTAGGGCAAAGTCGGGTGGAAGGCACAGAAAAGCAGAGGAAAAAATAAATCTGAATTCTGAGATTAAAGTGTAAAAGCTGGGACTTGGCAGAATTCTGTCAATATTCTCAGGAATTTTGAGAAATTCTGAGATTAACCTCAGCAATTACTGTAAATCTGTTTTTCTCTGTACTCCTCTTTCTCCTGTTGCATTTTATGGTGGATATTTGTCCATTTGTTAATATTACTAGGGATTTTTATACATGTTTATATTTATTCTGACAGTTTAAGAGATTTCTATAATAAAGTTTTGGCTTCAATTTTTTGTTTTATTCGATTTTATGTGCAATTTTTACAGTGCACAGTCATAGTTTTATTTAAACTCTATACATTTTGTAATTTCATTCTAAAGAGTAAGCAGACAGAAAGTACCATAGATTACCTTTGGAAGTAAAAATTATATATTTTGGTTTTTTATGTTGCCTGTTTTTCTGTCACATTGTTTTACTAAACTTTACTTTGTAGGTAAACATCAACCCAAACCTCAGGGAAAGAATCATGACCAAGTTTCACATTCACATCTAAAGTGCAGTCCATGTTCAAGGTACATGTTCAGTCCTGTCTTGTAAATTCTATATAAATAGTTTCAATGTGTATAATTAAGTATGTATTATATACACTATTTCCATAATACTTGAATAGTCGCTTCCATCTGTAGTATAAATACTTTTCTCTTTTTTGTAGACGGAAATCAAAGTACACTTCTAGCACCTCCAGGAAAGCAGTGTCTTCAGAGAGGGAGTCCACTGGTCCAGATACCAGGCAGAGTGATCAGCAGGAGCTGACAAACTCTAGAGGGCACACCGGAGAAAGTCCCGCTCCGAGGCACGTTGCAAAAACCAGCAGCTCAGAATGGAACAGCTCCGATGATCTCGCTCTTTCTGAGCCTGAAGACAGAGAAAGCACTTACTGCTCCAGCAACAGTGAGGCCACTGCCTCTGACTCCCAGTGTCCTCATATAACCCTGCCATACCACCCTCCTGGTAATGTGACCGCGGAGCCCCTTCAACCGAACAGTCAGCGTCAGCTCAGCACGACAGGGTCTCCTTACATTCGACCCACCCAGCAGATCTCTCCTCACCAGGGAGAAACAAGTCACGCAGTGTTTCGTCCGAGGATGCTTCAGGAGCCTTTTTCATCAAGCCCTTGTCTTTCTTCCACATCTTACATTAGTCCGCATAGGAATCCTGACATGTCAGGCCTCCGAACCTTCTCGGATGCAAGCTCCAAGTCGGGCTCTGACCCAGAGAGGAGCACCTCATCATCATGTGAAAGTGAGGAAAGACTAACTGGGTGCAGAGTAGAACAGGCAGTGCCAGCTCACGAGGTTTCTCTGACGACGTACTTCAGCGTGGATAACTGCATGACGGAAACATATCGTCTCAAGTACCACAACCAGAGGCCTCTTGTCCTCTCTGCCTCGGTGCCACGGACGGTGGTTGCGACTGAGCGCAGAGACGCCACCGACACACACTCACAAGATATGCCAAAAGCCAGACCTGAAACAAGTAAGCCTCTGAACACCTGAATGTACTGTAGGACTGGTCAGGATGATTACACATATACTGTAACATGAGATACAGTAAACTCAGCTGTAAGAGATTTTGCTCTACCGTTTATAGTGTACCAACTGTTCCTTTAAGAATTGTTGTATGGCATCCATCTGAAAGTTATTGGAAAAAACAAAATGACAGTAATCAGATGTTTTGTTTTTTCATGATATAAATATACACACAGGGTTGCTTAATCAAACGTAATCAAAAGTTTTCCTTATTTTCTTTTCAGGCCATAATAGCAATAAACCCACAGCAAAATGGAACCCAGTGACAGCCAAAGGACTGGATGAACATGGTTTTTTATGAGTGTTCCTTGGTAAGTTTTGTTTACATGGATGGACAGTGGTCAGTAGAGCACTACTAACTGGATGCCAAAGAGTTTACAGAGTGGAAATATTTCCTGAAGCTCAACATCTCTAAATTGAGTGGGATTTATTTACACAAGCCTGTCACATAAGTAAAACCTATTTCTAAATGCTGTTACATGTTGTTTGACGGATAATCAACTTTCACACATACCGTCTTCCATTGTCCTTGCGGTACCGCTGCAAGGAGATTTTGCTTTAACCAAAATCTGGACTGTTTTCAGTTTGCACAAAAGGTTTTAGAGTTTTAATCACCTTATATCAAGTTTAAAATGTTTATTTTTAAAACTGTGCAGTAGTTCTGCAAAAGTGCTATGGAACTGAAGATATACTGATATGTTTAAAGTAAGCCATGAGAGATTACGCTGTGTCACAGTTTGATTATGCTGTGGTCTGTAGATGAAAAATGATGCATGTTGACATGAAAAGGTACTTTATCAGAATATGATGTTATCCTACATAACACAAACCTACAAAGATCAAAGGTTTGCATCAGCTGCACCAGATTTAAGGTAATTCATTTAATCACAGCTCAAACTGGAGATTAATAAGAATGGAAATGTTGGAAGTGAATATCTGGGCAGTTTACTGACTTTATGCACATTGAAGGCTTTAGGTCATTGCAACATTTACATATATTCAGTTAGTGACTTGTTTCAACTGTTATTATTTATCAGTTCTTTTACAACATTTATGTGTTTGTGAATGACTGAGGGCTGCCTGCGCTGTACCAGTCGACCCCCGTAGCTGTAAGCCTCAGCTGAGAAAGACTCAAAATGGGACGTTCTGCATTTGAGGCAGCCCTCAGGTTATTCAGTAAGTCACTATATACAATCACGTAATCGTATGTGTTCTACCCTCGATTGTTCTGGTTCTGTTAATCTTTTTTTTGTAACTCACAGTGAATTAAATGGTATTGTTTTCAGTCTTTCTCGTACTTAGATCTCACAGATTTAAACAGGTTTGTGTTTGAAGGTATTTTTCATTTCCAAGAGAAACTGTGTTAACATCTGTTCAAATAAAAAATCACCAAAATCTGTTATTTATCAAGGGGTGCCTAAACTTTTGCATAAGACTGTATGCACATTGAAGGCTTTAGGTCATTGCAACATTTACATATATTCAGTTAGTGACTTGTTTCAACTGTTATTATTTATCAGTTCTTTTACAACATTTATGTGTTTGTGAATGACTGAGGGCTGCCTGCGCTGTACCAGTCGACCCCCGTAGCTGTAAGCCTCAGCTGAGAAAGACTCAAAATGGGACGTTCTGCATTTGAGGCAGCCCTCAGGTTATTCAGTAAGTCACTATATACAATCACGTAATCGTATGTGTTCTACCCTCGATTGTTCTGGTTCTGTTAATCTTTTTTTTGTAACTCACAGTGAATTAAATGGTATTGTTTTCAGTCTTTCTCGTACTTAGATCTCACAGATTTAAACAGGTTTGTGTTTGAAGGTATTTTCATAAAGATGCTGATATAATCTGACATTATACACAACACATCAGTTTTCTTGTTAATAAGAATAAGAGTCTGGAACCTGCATGTGGCCTTTACGAAGTCCTACTAGCTGCGTCTACAGCATGAGCATGACAATATTGGGCTGTGAGTGCAAAGGACATCAAATCTATTGGATATACATTAAATAACAGTTTGTACCTACAGTTGATTTGGAAACTTTAACACTTGAATGATGTTCTATTCTGTCACTCGTGCAAGAGCATACTTTTGTTTATGCATCCATTGTAAATATAAACGTATACGCTGGAAAACAACTGACTATCCGAGATGTACTATGCATTCACTAAAAGTTACTTTAAAAGCAGATCGTGCCATTTTTAAAGCTTTGTATTTGGTGCATCTGACAATATCAGTATCATTAATATTTTGTGTTTACTATATTGCCAAGTATTATTAACATCCTGCCATTTATGCATACGGTCTTTGTATACATGTGTTTTTTCATCTACTTTGCATTTTTGTCTACCCACACACCTTTGTCCAGGTAGTTCTCAGCTATTCTCACTGCACATATTGTCTGCTGCTGTGTGCGTTTAATCTGACACAGTGGATTGTGTCTAGAGATTTTTGTGGGCGTGTTTGTAATCTCATCTAAATGTGAGCATTTTTCATGATTCATTTATTGACACTTTAAATTCAAGGAAAAGAAAGCATTCAGTGTAACTGAGCTACTGAGAAATTCTTCACTTCTGAATTGTAATCTTGTCATTTGTGCTGTAATTATAAATGACAGTTTTTACAGTTATTTTTAAGGTATGTTATATACAGTTTGTTTTATATTCCGTAGATAAAGAAATCAAAATGACTAAATGATTGGATTGGATTAGATTAAGATGAGTGCATTAGCCAGATTACCTAAATGTTGTCGACTGCAAACTGTTTTTTTTTTTTGTTTTTTTTTTGTGGTTTATTATCTAACTAATGGTTCTATCACTATTTACCCCATTTTTAATTAATTTCTGTATCTGTGAAAAATTGTTCTATTTATGTTATATTTTAAATTCTAAACATTGTCTCTTCAGTTATATCACGAGTGCCTTGACATTTTCAGTTTCGTTGTGTTTTGTGAGTGAAACCACACTTACTGAATGAAGGAGATGAATGAAGAGAATAGAGGATGTCATGAATCATTTTTTTGAATATGCAGTGCTAGTAGTGACATATTGATGATATTCCTGTGTGTGCACCATTATGTACTGTGTGTGTGTGTGAGTGTCAGAGGGATAGATTTGTTCCAGGTCCAATATTCCTAAAAGCCCTTTCAGACTTGGAAGCTGCAAACACAGCAAGTAGCAGTCTCAGCCATTTGCTCTTCATCCAGCTGCAACTGGCAAAGGTTTGATGTTCAAATGTCAGCAGCAGAAAATGGGAAAATCTGTGCTTTTATCCTCCTGGCAAAGTTAGGTGCTTCTGGATCTGGAGAGAGCTTAATGGCTTATAACTCCAGTGTTTAACTTGGTATGTGCATGAAAACGTGTCTGTGTACTTGGAAGAGGAAGCTAAATGCTTATCCTTTTGCACCCATTATGTCTTCATTTAAAAGCTTTATTTACACAAGAAGCTGGTAAGACAGAACATCTTTTTATGCCCCATAACATCACAGCTGGCATTGCATCAGCCAATATCTTTTATTTATTTTGTCCTAAATATACAGAGACAGAACCTAATTGCTCCATGTTGTATCAACACTAAAGAACAAAAGAGAACTTTCCACATTATGCCACTGATCTTGTCTGATAAGTTACTGGCTGATGTGGCCTGATGTGTAGGACCTGTATGACTCACTCAATACCACTGTGCATGGCTAGGATTCAGCCTGAAACCACTGCTGAACTGAGTTGCTGGTGCTTCAGTGAATGCTTCATGACTTGTGTAAGTACAGACCGGTTTAAAGTAACATGTAAAATCTGTCTACACTTTATATTTTTGTAGATAATATGTTTATTTTTATTCATTGTTGAATAAATTTTAAATTATTGTATTAATCTAAAATGAGTCATTTTCATCTCCTTTAAATGTCTGTTATCCTTTGTCACTGAACAAGATCACTGACAAATACAAAACTAAAAAAATAAAACCCACAGAAAACAGGCAGTTATAATATGGCTTTATTACTGCATGTTTTAAAAAATCCAGTGCAATTGAAAAGTATTTCATTAGCAAGTAGTGCAATTTTCATGTGCTGAAATGAGTGATAGTTCAGCACAATACTGTGTAATCCTGATGTCAGACATCTCTCACATAATAGTTTTGTTGATCAGTTTGCTTTAACACCTTTTGAAAATCCTTTTTGCGTCCACACCTTCGTAGTTATAGCTCTGTTGGGAAAAGATTATGTCAGTATAGTTACTATAGAGCTTCATAGTTGTGCATTTGGCTAAATAATCAAGGTACTTTTTTCCAACTAATAATAAAATTCAGCATGTGAGGTCCTTCATTGAATCATGGTAATATAGGATCTTATCTTAGTATCTCATGTCTCAGAGTTACAGTTGGAAGAACCTTTGGTGCCAGATATAAATTCACCCTACCTGTATGAGTTCGTCTCCTTGGACGATTCTGGTTGTTAAAAGTTGCTTTCCGTTGTCCTTTCTTTTGAAATTCCCCTTCAGTACGTCTCCCTCCAAGGTCCATGTGCCCTGCAGGGTGAAACATGGAACTTACTCACAGCATGAATAGAAGTGCAAGGACAGGCTGTGGTGGTTGACATTTTAATGAGCTGAAATCAATCAGGCACAAGGGCTACCACGGTAAAGGTCAAACCTTGATGTATGGATTGTTTTCTAACAAACAAATAGTTTCTTGCAGATCAAAATTGAAAAGTGTAAAACGAGTAAATAGCCAGCTCACCAGGAACCAATTAGAAGTAAGACAATAATAAAGCAAGATAATAAGTTAAAGATATTTGGGGGCAAATTTAAATTTTGTACAGGTCAGTTTTTGATTAACTGTGGAATGATGGATAAAGGTGCTGCACTAGATGCCACTGTTGCTTACTGATAGTTCTGTTCCATCTGCAAGGCTGTAATCAAAGTTGACTCCCATGGTGAAGTCTATTTCCAGGGTGCGGAAATTGCTGCCCTCCTTGACATGAAACGTGTCTCCATTCTGTTCGATGGTTATCTTGAGGTTGTCGTGAGCAGCCAGCTTCCTCTTCACCATGTTAATGCCTATCCACAGACACAGCAAAGATGATCAATAGATCGAACAATCTGATGGAAGTTAGTCTGGATTGAATCACTATTCATGCACATGCATTTACAACGGAGGGTCCTTTGTGAGGGTAAGCTACAAAAACCAAAACACAAACATGCACTGGAGGTCACCAAGTGTTGTCAAATGAAACTTTAGCTCAATATTTTGCTTTCAGTTTTTAAAGATCTAGGTGATGATGAGTGCACAAATGATTTTAAAATGTGCATGACTGGTGCATTTTGCTTTCAGTTTTTAAAGATCTAGGATGCTAATTTATTGCTTAAATGATGAGTGCACAAATGATTTTAGCTGACATTCTGACTAAATACTTAAAATTAAATGTCTGCAATTTATTAGGGCTTCATCAGTTGTCTTATCAGGTCTTGATTATGCTCATGTTTTTACTCAAAGAGCAGACATTCGTATCCTTCCTAACATTGCATCAGTTAAGGAATAGCTTTAACATTTCGGAGCAGTTTGTCTTCACTTAACCTAACTCACCCATTTCTTCCATGAATTTCTCATAGTTCTCATTGCGAATGACTTTCCAGGTCCCGTTGAAGGTCATGGTGGCGGTGAGGGTGAATTGGACAACTCGTCAGCTGCTGCTTTTAAACCGAGAACCCTCTTATCTCTTCGTCTGATGTGCTGATGTGGCCGTTTAAAGCTCAGTGCCATATCTGCTTCATCAGATTGCGCAATGCCGTGGTTCAGAATAAACAGAAGGCTGACATACTCAACAAACCGAGAGCTGTGACACGTTTCCAACTGAAAGTGGCTGGTATCCTGGTTTACCTGTGTTTCTGTTTACACAGGGCGTCGGTCTTAACCACTTGGCGTCGGTGCTTGACTACTTGATGTCTTTAGCGCAGAACTGCAGTAACTGAGCGCACAGTATTTGATACAACAAATAAAACCTTGTTAAAGTTAACTTGAAACCCATTAATGTTTTTAATGTCGTTCCCCCCTGTACCTCAAGGTAAGATAAACTAGATAATGAAATAGACTAGCTGGAGCATATGAAATACAATCTATTGTATGGCTTATTTTACCATAATGAAATGTCGCTAAACCGTTGCCTTTGTGCAAATACAGCAGTGATAAGTTTGGCTGATAATGCGATTCTAGTGAAACCTTGGACTTTAATCTGGCTATTGTTGATAAGCGAGACCTTTGATATTTGAAATTAATATTAACCAAACACTAGAGTTCCCGTTATATGGCAGCCACTCAATGGATTATGTTTTATAGACTCTAGATTTTGAGTGTCCCTGAAATCAAATGTGTGCTTTATTTGAGGTGTACTTGGGACAATAGGATGAGTTGGTTAAATTTACTAGTTCCATACCTAACACGATGACTCTGTTCTAGTTTGGCATCTACATCTTCAGACACATTTTTATTCCTTGGCTTTCAAGGTAGCATGGGAGTTCTTAAGTTTAAAGCCTATTTTTGTGTATCTGTCCATATATTTCTATAACCCTTTATCCCTCTTGGTATTTTTGTTCTCAAACATCAGCTTAGTTGACATTGTATTTAATAGTATAATAATGTAGCAAATTTGCAAACAACCAAATTGCCAGAACCAGTGGAAATGGTGTGTGGACCCTGGGTGGTTGCCCAGTTAGCAATGTTGGTAATACAGCCTTAGGCACCACTGGGTAAATATCAATTCCCTAACTGCATCCATCTTTGCCTCACTTGCATCATTTCCTTGTGTCTTAGTGTCCTTAAAAACCCAAATGGTTTTCTTTGACAATGTACAAAACACTTTTTAGCGTGTGTCCTAAAAAAACAAAATAAATAATCAAATTAAATAAAAATAAAACAAACATACAGTGTGAGTCAGTTTAGCATCTACTTTGTAATGTAATGTCTTACAAGCACAAAACTGCCCCCTATGTTGTTTCACATATATTATACATGATTACTGCACCATAAGTCTTTTTTAAGTATTATGTTATACTGAATAATTCTCCTTTAGTGACAATAACAGCAACAGGTGCAAATGGTGTTGTTATCCACAAGACTGCAATCTTCTGACTGGCCACTAGAGAGAGCACTTTACAAGTCAAGTCAAGTGGATGAATATTCTCAAAATGATCAATGTTCTGTATCAAACACTGATGTTTCAGACATGTAGTGTTTTATAGCACTGCCTTCAGTGAAAGTTAAGACCAGACATTACTGTTTTGTGTTTATCTGTAAAGTTTACGATCTTTATTAGAGTCAGAAAATGCTGATTGATAGCAAGGGTTGTACAGTACAGACAAAATATCAAGTAATTAACACTTCTCAAGACTGTTTTTATTAGTTACTTCCCCACAGAAACATTGCTAAAATAAAACAATGTCTTACCACCACAGAAGATACAAGTACAGTACGCCTGTTTGCTTCTTACACAGGAAGCTAGATAGTTGGAGAACATTATGTAAGCTTTGATATTAATGAATGTGGAGGGGGAAAGTCATGGAATTAATCCAGCACAGCATACAGTTCGACTTTAATTATAAATACTGCATGATGGAGGCACATACAATAGCTTCATCCAAAGTTTACTATATTTGTTCTTTTCTAAATGTGATAATTACATTTTAAACTATAGAGTTCTTATGACAAAATAAATGAATAAATACAAAGTAACATGATGCCAACAATAAACATCTAGTAGACCTTCAAGAATATTTTAACAATCTGCTGTAGAACTAAAATAGTAGTACTATATAGTTTTAAAGAGTATTCACAGAAGCAGTCAAAAAAGTGAATAGCATAAAGGTGCAATATATATATTAGATCAAGTAGTGTCTAGTGTATGTTTTCATTTACGGGACTACTTTGATCATTCAGTGATAGATGATAATACAGGTTTACTCATGGCTCAAACACTGTGTCATCCTTGCACTGTATCATATGAGTCAGGTTAGAACAAAGAGCTGATGAACCCGGTCATGTAAATTTATCTCAATATAACAACTATAACACCAAAATCCTTAATGTCATTGCAACATATTCAGTATAAAACATTGTAACTCTCACATCCAACGAACAAAACTGGATCCTTCAAATATTGCCAGTGATGTAATGGCACAAATATCAATGTTAAGCTAAAGATTTTTTTTCTATTACTATAAAAGAGGGAAGAGAGTATTAAAAGTGCAAATGATGTGGTGAAAAAATACACTTTTTTTATTAATATAAAGTGAATGGAGTTATTTGACAGCTGGAGTTACAGTGTCAGTATTTTTGGAAGGCTTCAGAATGAGTCTGACAAATGTAGGAGCTAAAAATATTTTGATGCCTAAAACAAACTTGATACTGCACCACTACTACTGCTGTAGTTTTCATGACACACAGCACTGTTGTGTGTATGTTAAAAACATGTAATGAGATCATGTCACATCACGGGCTAGCAGACAAACAGGTTCAGATTCACATTGAAAAACCTGCAGTTTATCACTTTATCTTATGTCTGATTCATCTCATTCCTGCCTCAAAAATTCCCTAGAAGCTTTTATTAGATGACACTCGTGATGTTTCATTGAACTGCGTCAGTGGGCTTCCTGGACAGAAACCACACCTTCATCGGTTCTTTTTTGCCTTTCATGGTGACGGGGCCTCGAAATTCCAAATGAAACTGTGGGTCGGCGTTCTCGGCAGACTGCAAACACCTGGTGTACAACATCAACATCACCGCAAATCACTCACACTGTACGGTCCTGGGTGATCTCTGTTGTACTACATTTAAGGTTTTTGTGTCAATAAAGAACATCAAATAAAGATATATTCCTGTCTGTACTATATACAAACAAACCTTTGGTTTAAATTTTAATGGATTCCAACTGATTCTTCATTTCTAATACTAGTATTTTCTTAACAGATTACAACTCTGTTTTAATACTGTTTAACCAAGTTGTAAAGTTATTTCAAAATCACCTATTTCTCTAAATAAAAATCAAAACATGACTTTGCTAAAAAACAAGTTAGAATATGCCACTGATATAAAATAAGGACTTTTACTTACCGAGAAGTATATTCTGAGACATTTATCTTTCCCTTTTCACCTGTAGTTTCTGTACGACTCGTAAGGTTGACTGTATTTCCAAAGAGGCAATACCTCGGCATCCTCTGGCCGATCACCCCTGTCACCACTTCTCCTGTATGGATCCCAATAGTGATCTGGAAAGGAAGGAAAATAAAAAAGGAGACTCTTCAGACACTGAACTGCAATCACTCTGTAGGTTTGTTTTAATTTAAACAAAGCAAATAAATACCCCAACGATATCCCTGCTGCTTCTCAAATACAGTCAAAATTAAGCATAAAATTTTATTAGAAGAAAGAGACACTAATTATTATTTATCTGCTGTAAATACACTACTTAAAGGAACACATGACACCATATTTATCCTCTTCAGTTTGAGTCAAACCTGTGTAAATGTTCAATCAAGGACTAGGTAAATGATTTGTTCACCACACAGAGAAAGATTTTTTAAAATGCAAGCAGCTCTCTAGCAGAATGCTTCTCTTAAGTCTTCTGGCACAAAATCTTAAAGCTATTGAGTGAAAAGGTGCAACATTAGGTGGGTGGATATAACAAGCCAGAAACCACTCTATGCACAAAATTAGATTTTTTTTTTTTAGGTTTGCAATAAACTAGCAATTCCAAAAGTAGCCCCATGAAATGAACAGACTAATATTTACCCTTGAACCTGTGGGCACTTCAGCGCTTGTTGTCGTCAGAGCATGAACTCACTGTGAGTGTCTGGGACAAATGAGGATCTATTTTTAGCCACGGGATCGTGAGATGATTTGAGGTTGTTTCTGCTACTAAACCAGACTCTTCTTCAGCCATGTCCCAAAATAAACAGCCTTTTGTTAACCAGACATGATGTTCCAAAGCTACGTATCAGCAGTCAGTGATACAATAACAGTCTCCAACAGTCAGTTAAACAAAAGTCTGCTTCCACTTATTGCTTCACTGTCAAAATATGTCCAGATGCACATGCAGTAGGCTGTACAACAGTTCTAAAATCAATCAGCAAAAAAGGCCTATAACGTTGGTCATATTTGGCTGAATGCCAATCAGCAGTAATTTTCAGCTCCAGAATATTTCAAAGCAATATTTAACAACAAAGCAGGGCACCACCGAGCTCTGGTAACCTTTGCCAAAATGACAGATGCACTGCTGAATAAAAAATAAACTATACATTATTTAAACATGTGAAGGAAAGCAGTTTGAAAATTATAACATTTGCCAAAAACACCCAAACAATCAAAGAAAAACTATCCAGCTTTTGTTTATATAGATTTAATCTATTAAGACAGATAAATAGATAGTCCATGTCACTGCTGAGTCTACTGCGGGCTGCAGACAGCCATGTGCTGCCTCCATAATAAACTTTACCTGGAGGAGAGAGTGTGCAGGATGTTCACACTTTCCTTGCCAAATCCAACTAATCAAGCCAAAAGTGTTGCTGCACCATCAGCACCAAACCATACACAGGAAAAACTTTGATTCACTAACCTAAAATAATGACTGACAAAAATGGGTTTCTCTCTCTCACCATGATAACTGTGCTTAGCTATTATTTGACAGATTAAGACAATTTTATAATACAAAATTTTAATGACCATGTAGATATAAAATGCATAGCATATACCAATGTGATGGTTCCCTGACCTTCCTGTTTTTGGACTTTTATTTTTGGTACATTTCCTCCCTGGTCCTGGTCCTCCGCCCCAGCTTCACCACTCTCAGTACAAGCCCTGATCACACTCAGCTGTTTCTCATCTCTGCAATCATCCTGCTACAGAGCAGCCATGTCCAATCATACTTTTTCATTTGTTTCTGTACCTCTGTTGTGTCTTTTCATCATAGTCTCTCTGATTCCTGCATCTTGTTTCTCTTTTTGGACTTAGCCCTCATCTGCTGTGTTTAGTAGCCTGTTCTTTATTGCTGATCTGTTTTGCCTGTTATTTCATTCATTTGACCATCAAAACCAATTTGTTTGTCTGTCTGGTACCAGTTATTTTTAGTTGGTATTGTCTGTGTTGATGCTCGTTTCTCACTTAGCTACATTACTGGTGTTGTCTGTGTTTCTTGGTCAGGTATCTTCCCTATTTTGTTGTGTAGCCTTAGTCTGCCACGTGGTGAGTTGTTTCTTCTTCTTCTTTTATTACAGCCTTGAACTTATTACCACTTAGTCCACATCCAGTGTCTGCATTTGGGTTCTCAAGTTAAAAACATAGCTAAAGTATGAGATTCCCATCACACCTGTACATGCTCATCATCCACTTTGACTTGTTCAGCGATCTCCATCATATCAAGAGCCAGGTGGCAGATTGACTTGGCATGGTGCGTGCATGGCTCTGGCAGGCCACTCACTGTCATGTACTTGTCACCCACTGTTTCCACCTGTATGGGGAAAAAAGGCATTTTGTCATTAGTCACCTGTAAAATGTCAAAGTGATTTATTTTGCTTTACTGTTAGTCCATGTGAAATCATCTGTTCCCAACATGCTACAAAGGAGGTTTGTTTGAATGCACTGTGCAGCAGCCAGAAATAACCTGAAACACCCTGAAATCAACGCTTAAACACTTGCATCAGCTTTAAGACATTCAGGACCTTTTTGAGCCCTGCTATAACTCCAGGACCACCTAGCCATTCAGCTTGTAGAGTAAATATTACTCTTTTGGTGACCCAATGCCTGAAGCCAATCCCCTGAAAGTGCCAAGGTCTGTTTGACTTCTTAAAGTGCTTTCTTGTCTGAAAGCCTAGGATGTAAATCTGCTGCACAAGGCCTATAAAATGGTGCAGTCCCCCAGTAAAACTACACTGTGTTTAGAAGACAGTGCTACTTTTGTTTTTATTGCAAAAAGGTCAAGTCAGTTGCTACAAATACTCTTACTGACCTGTATGCGCATAAGTCTTACCAGAGTCATGGGGGCTTCACTGGTACAGAGAATATGGTGGTTAAAAGAACCTAGGTTCTTAATTTTAAAAGTGCAGGCTTGTAGTTTTTTGTGCATTCTGATCATTGTCGCACCTTTTTGTTTCTTTACACGATTGTGCAGTATAGTGTTAGTGCTTCCAACCTTGTATACGTAAGGGTTCTTCCGAGAGTCTGTCAAGATGTCAAAGCGTGTGTAAACATCATTGAGCAGGTTGACTATCTTGATGGCGCCCTCGGCTGAGGCATGTTTGCTACAGAAGGTGTTGAATCCCACAATGCCACTGAAGAGGATGGTCACGTTATCATAGCGTTTTGCTGGGACGGGCCGTTTGTGTCGCAGCTCGTTGGCAACAGATGGTGGCAGAACGGAATAAAGCAATCTAAAAGGAGGAAGAGAAATTTACATTTTGAGAAAACACCTAGTTATGGTGTATTCAGGCGGCAGAGTAATGGGCTGGGGCTGCCAGACTGAAGTCCACTCTTAGGATTAACGTTTTATTTGCTCACCCACCACCTTTTGGTCATTTCGCTATGCAAGCTGCTCTCAGAGGGGAGGGCGGTGTGTGTGTTTCTATGGTAACCGGTTAGCTCATGGCTGCCTGTTAACAGCAAAGTACCTTCCATGGTGTATTATAATTCAAGGACACACAATTCGTACAGATAAGTGTCACCACACAGAAATCTACATGAGAATATATTTACCCAGGTGACAAGACCATACATGTTTATCTGGAACTTTGAGGTGCACACCTGAACAGCAGCAAAAACAGAATAAATGTGTGCTTTCATTTTCAGAAAACAAATCTGTAAAGCTCTGAGCACCAGCAGTTCTCAGCCATGCATTCTATGTTTGGCGCCTGAGGCACTCTGAGACTAAAGGACGGTAGGAATAATAATACAGGAATCCACTGGGAGAGTCTTAAGTATTTTCCTATGAGAAAATAGGATTGCTACAGCCGTCTTAATAAAGAGGGTGCTCCTCTCCAGCTGTCACCCACTGCTGTGCCAAATTACTATGAGAGCCCTTTTCTGAAAGCCAGAGTCAAAAGTAGTGTATTCACTATAACAGCAACTGAAGACTAGCTTAACCTCTAGAGTCCCTGCGTCCTCATATGAGGACCGCACAGCTTGGGTTTCCAAAGCTCAGGACTCTAGAGGTTATGTAAATATCAGCTTGGGTATAACAATAGATTCTGAATCTAGTTGGGCCTACTGTCACATAGCCTCAACAGAACTGCATGGGACTGGGACCTGTTAGTGTCCTGTTATATCCTGTCCTGTTGTGCTTCTTGTCTCAAGTCAGTCCTTAAAAGGGAATACTACTTTGTCTTTCCTAAAGGACAGACTAATGAACAAGCTGTGCCACTTATTTACTGCACATAGGAAGATAAAACTAAACCAACAGTGTAATCACAGAGTTGTCATAGGAGTTTGAGGTTTTCTCACAACCAACATAAAATTGCAGGGATGTTTTCTGTAATTATAACTGTGACACAATTTTTTTTTTCAGTACCTTACTGGAGGGAAAGGTTTGTAAACGGTGCTAAATATGGGTTTGAATGAAAAAGCTAGGTTGCTGCTTAGAGCCATGATTCTCAACCAGGAAGCTGGGGCTCCCTCCAAGGAGGACAGGAAAAGTCTATGGGGCTATCCATCCATCCATTTTCCTCCGCTTATCCGGGACCGGGTCGCGGGGGCAGCAGTCAGAGCAAAGATGCCCAGACTTCCCTTTCTCCGGACACTTCCTCCAGCTCCTCCGGGGGAATTCCGAGGCGTTCCCAGGCCAGCCGAGAGACATAGTCCCTCCAGCGTGTCCTGGGTCTTCCCCGGGGCCTCCTCCCGGTGGGACATGCCC